TTTCTTTACGGCTATATGTTGATCATATAAAGGTATTTCGAATTTTAAAGGAACAACTCTTATACCCTTACCATCTGCAACGAGTACAGGCACTGTTACCGCGAGACTTTCCGAACCGTCTTGAATTTTGCAATTGGATGCTGGAAATAATTAGAAGAAATTGTGACATTCTGTAGACGATAGAATTCACAGACGAATGTAGTTTTTCTCGGGAGAAGATTATTGATTTTCATAATTACCACATATGGGCCGATGAAAACCCTCACGCTATTGTCGAAACTAACCATCAAGAACAGTTTTCTCTCAACGTGTGACTCGGAGTTATTGGGGATGATTTAATTGGGCCTCATTTTCTGCCTCCTCGATTAAATGGTGAGGCATACGTTCAATTTTTGAGAAAAGTGCATCCAGTACTGCTGGAGGAAGTTCCTTTGGGCGTCAGAAGGGATATGTTTTTCATGCATGATGGGGCTCCCGCCCAATTTAGTCAAGTAGCACGTCAGCATTCAACTGAAACATATGCAAATCAGTGGATAGGTCGAGAAGGACCACATAACTGGCACGCTTGATCCCCGCATCTCAATTCTCTCGATTTCTCTATTTGGGGCCATTTACAGCATTTGGTTTAGGTTACTCCTGTTCGCGATGTAGAGGGCTAAAGAAACCGCATCATCGATGCGTGCAGCAGAGAAACTCCAGGAATATTTGAGCGAATACGTGGCTCAATGCGCCGACGTCTAGACGCATGCGTAATGTCTGAAGGTAGAAATATTGAACATTTACTATGATTTCTACATGTTGTGTGTTTTGTTATTAATAAATTAGTTTTGTTTATTACCCTTTAATCGTTTAATGCAGGTACTAACTACAAAATAACAATAAATCCAGTTCGCATTTATGACGATGTACTCTGTAGTTGTTCGTGAAATAATTTTTTGCTGCGAACTGGTTTATTTTGGACAAAAAACCCAAAAGACATTTTTTGTTTAGAATGAAACAGTCTATCGGAAAGATATTTTTAAATGGTAAACAAATAATAAGACATAAAGTTACATTGGAAATAAATTTTAGGAGTTGCGTTTTCCACCCCTTACAACCATGGGGTATACCAAATAAATTACTGGCTAAGTGTCTTTTTGGAAGCACAAAACGTCAGGTTAATTTCAATATTGTAACTTTTTTTTTATGTACCCCCTTTAAGGGGCTGTATCTTAACAAGGGATGCTCCAATGAAGTTTCTTTATATGAAAGATCCTAACTTTTTTTCGCTGAGGAATCACCTCCTTAAATGTTTTACACTTATTCAGTTACACCTTGTATATCGATGATTAATTTTCTCCATTTTTACAAATTCATCAAAAACGTCCGCTGTTGATGGCTGCCAAACAAATAATAAACAACGCAACGTCTTCAAACTTGAAACATATGCTTTATAAAATATATCTTTCTAAAACGATGATAATAATCAAATAAATACTGCCATCTTTAGGTCAGGGTATTTCTGGGACAACTCTTGTATAAGAAAAACCTAACCTAACCTAACCTCAAGACAAAATCCAACACACAGTTAATTTTGCTTACAACAGAATCAATGTGGTGGAAAAGTGATTTTCATTTCGTTGTTGTCAAATTTATAATCATAAGTGAAGGTACTGACAATGCGAGTAGACGATATGAAACAATATTTTTCAAATTAAGATATAATTTGTTTTGCCTGCATTAATCTCAAAACCTATATAGATCTTCTTTAATATATATGCAGTCTCTAAAATTTGTTATTTGAACAAATTTTTGATATCACCTGCATAAGCTGAAAAACTGAAAATTTTGAAACTTTGTCATACGAAGTACTGTGTGCCCTCAGCATTTCACATCTGATAAAAATAATTTTCGCTACATTCAATCAGAAGTGTAATTCATCTTGCAATTCCAAAAAGTAATGTCAGATGATGACCTGAAAATTCAAACAACTCATCCTGTATGTTTACAAACTGTTCCTCTTCAAATTACCTACGCGAACACGCGTAGAGAGCACCGAGCAGACAAATATTAATTATCGAGGTAAATAGAAAACGTTTTAAGATTCCTCTTCAAACACCATACTTCCACTTTTGGTCAGAGAAACCGTATTTGTTGGTACATCCTCTGTGCAAAATGGAGTGGTTTTAGAATTAATACACAACAGAGTGAGTGAAACTTACCAAATAGATCCTATTTGTACGAATTGAGAGTAATGGGGAGTGCAAGTAAAGGTTTAAACTTTGAAGTGGTAATAATGCAAAGTGAACTTGCTTCAGCTGTTCACAGTTATATAATTTTTACCTGAATTGAAATCAAAAATAACATATTATAGTCGAAATGCACTGGCAGCAAATAGAATTGCGCTGCTTGTTTGTTCTGAACTATGTGTTAGTAATCAAACGTTAAAAGGTAAGACCTCGTTAGTCCTATGCTCGTACTGGTTTCGACTTCTGAGGGTTGTCGTTTGTAGGAGTGCGACAGCTGGTTAACGGAAAAACAGGTCATGTTGGAAACGGAAGTTAGATTTCAAGGACGTTGCATCTTGCAGTATTGAGACTATTGGCAAAGAAAGACAGCTACGAGTATATAAGCAGTCTTCCTCGACTAAAAATTGAAGTTTGAAAAATAATAGTGTATTGACAGAAGAATCATGAAATACAAATCAATTACCAGAATTTAGCTTATTAAAAGAGAAAAAGAAAACGAACACCTCAAAAGTGCCGCTTTGTTCGCTCCTCACAAGCGATTCTGGTGAAATTGGGGACAAGTGTGAATTGTTGTATTCATCCCACGTGCCACTATAAGGGTGTCTGCAATATGCTGTGTAATGCCCGTTGTAAGTAGTCCCATTGTGATTCGAAAGGGCATATAGATTATAACGACAAGGAGCCACATTGTCTGCTGCATAATTGCTTATATCCAATCCTTCTTAAGAAAAGTCAATGGCAACATTCATTTTGCCTCTGAATGTTTCCGTTGGAGAGAATACGGAGAAACTTATGGATTGATATGGACTTTGTGCATTTTCCTCTTTCCTTGCACCTCGAACAGGTTGGTTTTTCATCTCCGTCCAGGTTTTCCTCTTCTGTGAAGAAATCCAAGCACTGTGACAAACTCAATTTGCCAGTTCTTTGTGGTATAGGGAGAGACAAATCCCAGAAAGGATCGAAGGTTACTGATGAGTATCCAAAGTGTGTGCACTTCATAGTAGATTTTAATTGACCAACGAAACTGTCTACAATCTTACAGTTGTTCGTGTTCAAGTATCTCAGCTAGGACTCCTGTGCTTTCCCGCTGTCGCTCACTTTTTCGTCAATCTCCGTTAAGATCGGTTTAGGTTTCTCAGTAATTCCATTGAGGTCCTCATGTAAACCTTCTAAAAGATATCGAAGGAATTCCTGGGCGTCTTAATGGACATATCCCATGAACCGAGGGGCAAATCTTTGAATCTGACTTTTAAAGTAGGCAGTGTTTATTACTCTATCTGGCCACATTTCCTTGATAACTTCTGCGAACTCTTTGATTAAAGCACCTTTCATACAAGAATAGTGTCAGACCGAAAGTTCGGTTTCGGTCGAGTTTCGGCTAAAAACGGGTTTCGGTTTAGTTTCGACGAAATTGCGACCGAAACCGAAACTGCAGGGGTTAGGTTACAACTTAAATAAGTAATTTTATGTTTAATATTTTTGAAAAACCATTAATTATATTCAAAAGAAGAATTTACACCTATTGTCCAAACAGGCGTATTCACGCAGTCTCATTTCAAAATTTCTACCGGTTTGTCCTGTATATACTGCGGAGCATTCACCACACTATATTCTATATATACCTGACTTTTTCATTCTATCCTGTTTGGGTTTTGCATTAAACAGGGACAAAAAATCTGCAATGTACGAACATCTTCAAGAATCAAACCACAAGATGAATGAAGATAACCTCAAAATCCTACTTATATGTAATAAAGGGAGAAAAATGAATCTGTTGGAGGCCATGGAAATCAAAAAATCAATCAAAAACCAGAAACATATACCTCTAAACGAGCAACTTGATTCATGTAGGTCTTCTCTCTTGAATTTATGAGTTTAACAACCCCTAGAATTTTCAGGATGGTATTTTAAGTTGGTATACTGTCTCTCAAATAGCTGTCCTAGCAGCATATCTGAAAATTCTATAAAATCGATGTTTCCAAATTTAGATTTCAGTTTTATACTTGATATGTATCCTATATTTGAGGACGCCGCTAACGAGCCATTAAAATAGGGATATGCGACAAAGACCGCGAAAACACCGACAAAGAATCCGAAAATACCGCCAAAAGAACTGCTCGATATTTTTTTCTGATATTACGTTTGAGATAATATTGATAGGCGTCGGACTGGGGGTATTAATATAAATTTTCCATTGGTATATTCTGTATGATGAGAAGATAATTAAAATGTGGTGAAAACTAATTTTGTTTCAATATTTTATTTTAGGAAGGACAATTGGATGCAACTTAAGCAAATACTAGATGCTAATGTATGAAGATATCTACCGTATTTCACAATTTTCATTTCCATACCAAGCCAGTGAACATTTTGTTGAATTCCATTACAAATTATGTAAAAAAGGCATATAAGCAATTGCAAAAATTATAAATTAAAAATGAAAAAGTTCAATTACTTGAATTTCTCTCATACTTTTCAAATACTATATACAATTCAAATACAAATTTGGTAAAATATCCTGAAAAAGAAAGTTTCGAACTTTCGGAACTGATATCAAATATTAATTAAGTATAAACGAAAAATTCATGAAAATTTTCAGTTTCCGAACATTTGCAAAAAAATTAAATCTCGTAAAATTTCACATATTTTCTTCACATTACAAAAGTTAGCGAATCAATTTCTCATCTTCCTAGACTCTGAAACAATATTTCATGTGCATCGGGCCCCATCTCTGGTGCACTACCCCAAAAAAATTGCAGTGTTTTTTTCCAGGCCTACATTTCCACGTCGTTGGAGAAGGGGTAGTCAGAGTTCGCACCCCTCGCCAAGAGAGGGTGTATGATCGTGAAAACTATATAGATTTTAGGATGAGGCTGCTAGGAGAACCAGGTAATGTTGGCCCTCTTAAAATTACGATAACTGATAAAAAAATAGTTTCTGTAATGTCTATTACCGTAATGATTTTCAGAAATATATTCATTCTGATGTCTAAACTGAAATTAATGATACACTTTCAACTTCTCTCCAACTTATCACCTTGATCCTAAATTTTCATATCTTCATTTTCTCAACAAGATTTATATTATATGAAAAATCATTATATCTGTGCTTTCGGGTAGTTACATAATTACATAAAAAAATTTTTCATTACATATTATTGTGCACTAATTTTACCATTATTTCTTGTTTCTTATTAATAGCACTCCATCTGTCGGCCAATTCCATAGCATATCTGTGCAAATCATAATTTTTCAGGTCAAGGACCATCGGTTTTATCTCCAGGTATACACAGTTTTCCATTCAAGCTTGGTTTACCACTGGGTTTGCCATCCACCTTCCTAGGTAAACATGGATGGGTCCAATATTTTTGCAAAACTGCTTTGAGGGAACCAAATGGACTCACCCATAAAAATCAACAGGTTTTCATTGTGATGAATCCTATAGATTTAAATTTAGAGCCAGCCATATTAGGAGTGAGTATAGAATAACTAAGTGTGAAATTGGTTCAAACAACAGTTCAAAAAGTTCAACTCTCCCACTCTCACATCATCAAATTAAAACATTCAATTTGTAGTAAGGGCGGCTGACTGTAATTGTTAATAACTTATGAAGTTTGTAGAGTGAGTTTGAACATCAGCCTCCACTGATTCTAAAATAACTACTTTCCACAATTAGTTGGAAACCAGAGCTCAAACACAACTCATTTATGATTTAACGCCAGCTCCCATTAGTGGATAAGCCTGAGTAAGTAAGGTTGATGACATCTTCCTCTATGAATCTGTAGGATCAAATATCAAAAATAAATGAGACTCTCCAAGGCGGTCAGCTGCGAAGCCGAGCTCTACATCGACCGCCGACCACGAGATTCGTCCTGTTTTTCTTTGCCAGATAACTAGTTGAAATCTGTCGTACTTTGCTGAGCCTCAAATGCGTTGCTGGTAAGTGAGGTCGGTGACATCTCCCCTCACGTAGACGTCATTTTTGAGGATTGAGTTCTCTGTCAATTCCATAGATGGCGTAAAGCCAGATGTCATCGACCTTACTTTCCATAATGTTGAAAAAATCCAACCACAAATTGTTCCGATTATCGATATCGTTCATAATTCAGACAGCAATATAACTTGAATCGATATAATTAGTGGTGAACTTCTAAAAGTTTATACGTGCAGCGTAATACCAGGACTAGGCCGATTGGCTCATTCCACAGCTTTCTTGCAGAAAGGTTTTTTTGTGTGTATCACCTCCTTCATTTGTCATCAACACTAGCGTACCCCAGAGTTCAGTTTTCGTACCGACCTCATTTCTGCATCACACGAACTATATTTTTTTATGGAGATGCATATGATCTACATGAAAACCTTCATAATGCTCTAAGAGCGATGCTTTCAAACGTTGGATTCAAATCGATCTAGATTATGTTCATTTTTCCAAAGTATCGCAAGGAAGACGTTTTTCCAAACGTAAGTGGAACCTAAAAGCGATGAGCAGTTGTAGTTTGCTGCATATATACCATTCTAGGTGGAATGTACCTGACTCAATCAATCGAACACTTCCCCTGACAATATCGACAGATAAGGGACAAGTCCATAATCGAAGACTTAAGTCAGTTCTGTGGAGGAAATCAAGAGTTTTCAGAAGGATATTTTCGAAAATTAGCAGCTTTCTTATCAGTCAGTGGGCTATGCTTGAAAACTGGCAGTAAACAAATCTAAAGAAATGAACTTTAAACGTTCAAGCCAGTCTCGAATATACCTACACAGTAGGTTGAATAAACTGACGCCTATCAGAAAACAACTACTCCCTTGGCTAATACCACGAAAGGCGTTGGATTATATGCGACAGGCGTCAGTGCAGGAATATTCACAGAAAATTTCCTATATATGCAATTGGCAGTCCTTTCAACCTACTGTGTAGGTATATTCGAGACTGGTTTGAACGTTTAAAGTTCATTTCTTTAGATTTCTTTACTGCCAGCCTTCAAGCATAGCCCACTAACTAATAAGAAAGTTTTTCTTCCTTATTCAGAGGAATCGGGCAGATTACGGATATGCAGTTGGTTAGTACCTCGTCCACTAGATGGAGTGACATTTTGTTGTTCGCTCAAACTTAAGAAGAGGAATGAAATACTCTGAAAGAATTCCGATTTTCAATACACCACTGAGTTACAGGTTCTAACGCTGATCGAAAACACCATCCACGAGTGGAACACCAACAAAAAAGTGCACATTGTTCTATTAGATATCTCGAAGGCCTTCAACCGTGTATGGCACGAAGGCCTTCTGCACAAGTTAATCGCGTCCGACCTGCCTCACTGATCCGGTGGATTGGGTCTTTCCTGAAAGACAGAATATTTCAGGTTAGAGTAGAGGGATCTCTGTCTGACAACAAAGAGATCCTCGCTGGAGTGCCACAGGGGGCCGTGCTCTCTCCGACGCTGTATTATTATTATTTTTTTTTCGCCGTAGTATGCGCCGGTCAGGCCCCATCCCCCGAAGCCCTGATACATTCGGAAGGGCGCGCCAGCATTATCAACCAATAACCACTCTCCACACCGTGGAGTAAATGATCATTGGGTCCTAGAATCATGTGTCCTGAGCAAGCGCAGTAAGCCAAGAATGACAGCCTTCTGCATCCGTGCGGCTAAGATTTCTGCCTTAGTTGCGGCAAGCCGGGATTATTTCAAGATTCGAGAGTAGAGATGACATCACTCCACCAAGGACTCCAATAATCAGAACAACCATCCTGACAGAGTGATCTGAATAGAGTCTGCGGAGTTCGAAGAGAAAATCTCGATATTTTATCCGTTTTGCCTCCTCTTTTCTAACGATATTCGTCTCGCCAGGAGCTGAAAACTCCACGACAAATATCGTTTTGGTCTGGTGGTCGAGAAGTACTACATCAGGCTTATTAGCTTGTATTTCCCCTCGATATCTATGAATATACCCAAGGTAGATTCTTTGTTGTCCAATGATCTCTTGATTCTGCCAACCACATGGTGAAGGGCCGAATCAGTAGACCTTCGCTTAGTATATGCATGCTGATTTGGATGAAGTGGATTGTGAACTAGTACTTCATCTCTTATGTACGGCTCACATAGCCTCTCCATAGTTTTTAAGAAAAATGATGTGAGACTAATTGTTCGGAATGCTATTGCTATGGTGTAGTCCATCCTACCTGGCTTGGGTATAAATACTACTCTTACTTCTCGCCACTTACTGGGAATATAACTCAGAGCTAAAGAGGTTCTGAATATTTCAACCAGGTGCGGCATAAGAATGTCCAGTTCCCATTGAAGTAGGGCTGGTTTTATACCGTAAGGTCCTGGTGACTTGAAGAGGAAAAATCCCGATATAGCCCATCTTATTTTGTCCTCATCAATTACTGCACTAGCAGATTGCCAGTCGTATTGTGATGGTGTTGTTGGTATATCCATCCAGTTCGTCATTCCAGGAGAGACAGAACCTGGGAAGTGAGTTTTCATAAGAATCTCAGTACTCTTCTGGAGGTTGTCAGATTTGTTTCCATTTTCCCTCGTCAGGATGCCGATACTCTCATGGTGGTCATTTGAGAGTGCCTTCTGTAACCTAGAAACTAGTGGGAAGTCTTCGACTGCCTCACAATAGGCTCTCCAGGCTTCTCTTTGCGAGATCAGATGTTTTCTCCTCAATCCTTGCAAAACACCGTCCTTTCAGTGGTCTCTTCAATTTTGAGAACAGAAAAAAGTCGTAGCAAGCGACGCATAACAACTGATGCACTAACCACGGTGATAGAAGAAAACATTGAGCAAAACCTTGACATTCGAACAAACTTGGCGTGCTTTTTCGGTCCTGGCTCTCCTGGACTCTTTGATTGGAACGATTGGACTATGGATTCAGTGTCATAACCATATACCCATGATTCGCCTCCAGTTCTGACATTTTTAAGCAAATCTGGATCGCCGCACATTTCCGAGAAAACCGATATGATGACAGATCTTACCGTTACGACCCAACGACTGTATACAAGTACATTTTGGGCTCATTGAACTCATTATTATAGTAATTTTTTCGCATGCCGAAAAACCTCCGGTTTAGGAAGTTTAGAATTCGTTTCACCCACGTTTCGGCTCTCGTGGTGTTCAAAAAACTGTACAGGTTCATCTCAAGAAGAGCCAATAATATAATAATAATAAATGAATAACAAACTGCTTTTGGATGGGATATAACTGTGCGATACACTCAGCAAGCAATAACATCCGTCTTTTCTCTGGTAATAATAATTCTACTCGTGACAACAAATTCCATAACTACTACTAACACACTTTTATAGTTGTGAAGACTACAAGAGGCCCTTATTTAGCGTCAGAAACTCCTGAATCGATCAAGTGGCAAACGAAGATGTTGCGGCCTCCAGCATGGGAGGTTAAAATGAATTCTGAAGTTATCTTACATCATTGTGTAAAAGTTCACCACAAGCTCAGTCTTCTGTCGATATAATTAAGAGAAGTTCGACTAACTGAAATGCTGTCAATGAACCAATTTCTCACTCTTTCAAACAATACGGTATGTTTAGATATAAGATTAATAAATTTAGATCAATATCTAAATTTCCCGTATAACTGTTCTTCTTTTGTTTCTCTTTTCTCTTCCTCTTTGCTAATTTCCTTTCTCTATACATTGTCTAATATAGAACATTTCGGGTCAGGAAACATTTAGATGTGAAGTGGAGCACAAATTTGGAGTTAGTTGTGTTGGTTCTGGAGCAGTAGTTTGTAAAGTTACCTTAGATAGAGGAGGATATGTTCCAGGAGAAAGTATAGGTAAGAGTTTTCAGATTTACCCTTTGCAAATTGATTCGATATCATTTTCAAAGGATAAAACAAATGTATGTTATATGCTGGTAACAAAGGTGATACATCAAGATTGATAAGATGTGATTCAAGAAAAAGGGTTTCAAAGGAAGACCGTAGTTCAATTGACTCAATGTTGTTTCATCAGAAATGATATTTTTTATCACTGAAATTCACTTAAAATTATATATTTAATAACGTTACAGCAAAACTGAAATAGAGTCACATACAAATAGCGATTCATACTAAGCCTGAACGTAAATTATAAATTTATTTCACATTATAAAGTTTCTGTTGCTGCAAAAATGTTTTTAAACCTTTTTTGAAAGTACTTATATTTATCAGTAGATCTTTCAATGTCTTCTGGTATACCATTGAAGAGTTTCGAACCTTCATGTGGCACCGAATTAGTTTCAAATATAACTGTAAGGACTTTAGGTTTTTTGGGAACGAAAGTTTTTGGCTTTCTACTACTCCATCTGATACAAAAAAAAGGGATGAGAGAATCTTCCAAAAAAAAATTGCCGAATTTTGTCTGATGGCTCTACTGCCTCCATTTCGAATGATGTGAAATAAGGCAAAGGAACTCTTTGATTTGTTTCATGTTTTTTATGATCTGGTATGAACCAATTTACAATTCGACGTTTCGTTTGATTCCAATGTTTTCAATATGGACATCTAGCTTCTTCATCAATTTCAATAGCCACTAAGCCACACAATAGCCACTTCATCAGAGTTAGGTCATACAACTCATACTTTCATAATGCTCTCCTGAGGACGCTAACTCAGTTAGCGAAACGCGCTTCGAGAGACCGTATTTTGTTCTGGTGTTGGCAAAGTGTTTGCAATAGATTCATTCTACGTCAAAGGTTCCAGTACGAACTATCATACAACTCAATCAATGATTACTCAAAAAATATAGAACCATATCGTTCTTATCCAAATATCTCTGGAGAAACTAGAACAAAGGCAATGCCGCCAATTTCACCATGCTATCAACTATTAATTCAACCTGTTGAATAACTACGAATACACCAACTCAATGCAAAATACTTTTAGTTTTACTTTAGGGAGAGTGGTGTGTAACTTTAAATTTGCGCCCTTTTTTGTAATTGTAATATGAACTCTTGCCAAACAATCAGCACTAGGAACCCAACAATATATAACCTTTTTGCAAATAGGAAGTGAATTCAGACAAAATAATATGTGAACTCTCTCTCAATATCAACAGGTTAGTACAAAAAACAAACACTCACATAACGCCTCTCTGGGTGGTTCATGGTCAACCATAGGTTCCGTTGACCCGGTGCCGGTGTGCCTTCAACACCAACACTTTCACTTTCAACTTCCTCAGCCTCGAAGGCTGAGGAATGAGACCCCCGACTCGTCTCGCCGGGCTCCGGTGACCGACTTTTTGTGTCTCCCCAAAAAACTCCCAAGCCCTCGCGACAGCAACGCTAGTCACAAAAACCTCATTTCAGCGTTTTAACCTTCCCAAGTGTATGATCATCGACAGAATGTAATATATTCATCGAATATATTCATTTGTTTAGTCTACTCTAGTCTAGCCAACTTGAACATGACCATAACGACGCTCGAAGGTCCGACAGTCATAAAATAGTTCAGCGCTTTTTCAACTGGAAAAATATCGACACCGAAGAAACGGGTGATCGACCTCTATCTCTATGAATGAAATAATATTTTACGTTAACCATCTCAGTGGCAGTTATTACAGTACTGCCAATGTATACACTAAGAGATTATTATTGCAACTAAGTGCTATTACCGTCTCATAACGCGCATCTAGTGTTTAGAACCATATCGAAATTTGGACAAATTTTTCTACATTCGACAAAGTTCCTAGCTTGTTTATTATTCCACCTTTTTATCTTTTCAGTCTTGCAAGGAACCATCATAATTTTTTTTAATACTTACTAATGTTTTATGTTCAGGTGTTTCGGCTAGTATTTACAATAGAAGTAGAGTTACAATAAAGAGTACTAGAGCAGCTCTGACCGAAAGCATAACATATATGGCAAGAGGAAAGGTAGTCCAATCGGAAAAAAGGGAACTGGCTTCATTGTCTAGAGGTAAAATCAAACCCGGAGAAAAAGATGAATGGAATAATGAACAACTATATATTCCCCCATTGCCACCTACCAATCTTAGAGGGTGCCACCTCATCAAAATCAATTATGATGTATATGTAAGTATGAAGCATTTATTACCTAAATCGTTAACTTCCTGTGGATATCATTTTTAGTGGTGGATTTAAATAATTTGAAAGTTTTACCAACCTAGTTTTATTTTACTAGGCCTGAGTGTTCTTCTCTACTCAACGTTTTCCAGTAGATGACGAAGCAATCGGGCAATTTCTGTTCTGGTTCCGTATTGTCCTGTACTGTCAGGGGTTAATTACTAGGTGTGTTCTGATTCCTAAATCCATGAAAATTTCGAAACTACATATAAGAGGACGCGTGATTCAGGACAGGACGGATTCACTTGTTCAACCAGAAAACCGACTGATTGTTTCGCCAACTACAGAACGAAGTGGAAAAAAGAAGAAGAACAAATAACAAATAAACCATATTAGTGAAAATAGACGGAACATTTGAATTGTGATCCATCTCATGGACTTTCGAGAATATTTTTGAGGTTTCAGGGAAAATTTATTATGATTTCTTATCCATATGCCACAAATTTTTGTTGTCATGAAGCGACTGGCCTTAACTCTCCTGATCATTCATTACTCATGGTATACTTAATATATACGAAACATAACCGATAACATTTTTGACCTGGGTTTCAATGCTCACACAAGAACTGAAGTGAAGCGTTCAGATCAAGAGTTCAGCATGGTCTTTAATAAAACTTCAAGACCTATAAAATATTTTCATAAAATATACGATTTTTGAAAATGGCAGTTGAAAATCTTCCTTTTCAAGATTTTTCTAGAGAATATTCGTTCTGACAACCGGTTACACTGCGAACAATAATATTTTTGTAATAACATCTCTGATTTATAAAACTTATCAAAAACATATTTCCAAGTTTCAATCTTGTGAATTCAACACCTACTGGACGATTTTCTTTTTCCTTAGTCAAAGTTAAATGTAACATACCAATTGTAACAATTTTTCCAAATTATAACCATCGATCATTTTTCAGTTCATAGTTGAACCAAAAAGTCTGCAGAAAGAAGTTAAGCTTCAGTTACCCATAATGATGGCCACCTATCCAATACGTTCAGAAGATGACGAAGGAGGATATAAATCTGGAACCCATTATCCATCAACCTTACCTATTTTCAGGCCTTGGCTGGAGGACAAACCTACTCAGGAATGACCATTGTGGATTTCAGTTATGAAATATGAACATTGATATGATGGAATCTCGCTGAGTTAATATGTTGATCTACAAGGTTAAACGAAGGTACTACAGCACTTGTGCGTGATATTATATTGAAAATGCCATATTTAACAACCAATTTTTATATTTTTTTGTAAATAATTCAAGAGTGAAGTAATATTCTATTAAAAAGTATGAATCATTACAATGTATAGCATTATTTACATTTCGTACAATTAAAAAAAGTATATTCAGTGAATGAATATGTGTTGAGTGACGGCTCGTGCATTGGAGAACAGGGGGGGCTAAAGTCATAAAAACTATATACATACAGAAAAGCCCGCCGGAGGCGCGAACATTTTTTGGGGTACCGCACCTATTTTAAGCAAAATACGTTATATTTGCATAAATGCAAACAAAAATAATGTATTGCCAAAAATTATACGTATAAAACTGACCATTAAAAAAAGAAAAACAAGGAAAAAGGGTTGTCTTTGAGTTATTAAACATAAATGAACTTTTCTCAGTCAATGAATAATACTTTCCTCTTCTAATATAACAGTATTTTATAAGCACAAGTACTTAATTATTCTTATAAAAACAGGTCTAAAAGTAAATGTTATTGTCCAGCAAGAACTAACGGGGAGGTGAGAGTCGTGTTTTGCCAGGACAGGAAAGGAAGGATGGGGTAGAAAGGAAGGTTAAATCTGGTTTGTTTAAGTGAATTCACAAGGCACCCGCAAACTACTTTTAATCGGCGGTCATTCAAGTTCAATACATTTTTTTGAATTTTTTTGTAATTTTGGATAGGAAGGAAAAAAATAAAAAAAGAAACTAAAAGTAAACATAACATTCGTTCTTAAGCAAGACGAACAAAAACTCAAAACATAAAAATAAAATTCCATTGAATCACGACTACCTAACAGAGATAACCGCAATTAGCGCTAAGTGATGTTGCGATAAGTTGCGAAATCAATTCGTCAGAATTCGCACGACAACGTACGATTGATCCAAACCCATGGATCGGTAGGGAACCACGTCCACTTGGCCCGTATGGTCCATCAATTTTCGACCGACTAGGTGCGAATTGCGGACCGATCCCGTTCTGCTGTGATTTGATTGCGATAGTGACAATAGTGGACGCAGTCCCCTAACGATCCATGTGTTTGGATCACAGAATAGTAACTCTTCTGTTTACTATTCTGTGGTTTGGATCGTTCGACGTTGTCGTGCGAATTCTGACGAAATGACTTCGCCAATGATGGCAGCTTTTCACTCCCAGTGGACGAGAGACCTAGTATATTGAAATGTGTCCTTTCTCATTCGGAAATGAAAAAAGGGGTAGTCATCGTCGATTTTAAGATACTGCCACAAATGAGAAAATTCGCCGAACTCCTTTTTGCGTAAAGGGAATTCACCCACATTTCCCGTCTTCATTGATATCGCCTGTGCCTGATACGACGATGAATCAAAGGTGATAATTATAAAGCGAAAAATTCTTCATCAGAATAATTAAAAAACTCGTTCCAAAGAACAATCTCACCTACTACGAATCCGGACGAATACTGAGGCACAGCATAGGTAACAATCAGCATGGACACTTGGCCATGCCGCATTTGATGTGGAAAAGTATCTAGACGCCATTTTGGGAAGTGACGATAAAAGGACAGGACTCGCGAAATGGTTTTGGACAGGTTCGCACTCAAACTTTTTTATATCCAAAATGCTCATATAATTCTGATATACCTTATAATGGACCCAAATTCAATTGATATAATAATTCTTGTGCAGACATTCTATCTGGTTACATGATTTTTTTCAAAAAATGTCAAAACAGTCGAATTATTTCTAAAATCACCAGTAGGAATACAATGGTTCAATCAACTGGAATATGAAGGAGAAATTGTCCAGCAATCAACTTTTTGGTATGAACTTTATGATCTACCTCTCTTAAAATAAATGTTATTTTGTATATTACTAATTAACCTTTCAGTTGAATTGCTTGTTCTTTATTATAAGAATTAACGTTCTCCTTGCATTTTAGAATGAACTCTTTTCCAACACAAATGTCTTTTTTTATATATACATAGGTAAGCTCTATCCAAACATCAACTTACTTTCGTTACTCCAATCTTTTTATTCTTTTTTAGTAATACGTTCACAGAACGTTTTTTACCCTCCTGAAATATCAATATCATGTAGTTGACCCACTTGGGATCCTTTTAGCTTTGTATATAGACTAACCCTAGGTTTCCAGGGTAGCTGGTTATTATTATATAAGGAAAACACTAGAAATCCAACTTGTTAATTTTGAAACATTTATTCGTGTCTCCAAATTATTATTTTATTCTTCGTTCTAACGATACGCACAGAACACAGGTAACACATACGTCCTAACAAGAACAAATCCAAAAGCAGAATGAGAAAGTCTGTCACTTCCCAAAATGGCGGACTCATCAACGTGACGGATATGCGCGAACTTCTCTCGCCAAGCGAAGTGACATTGCTGATTCTGAGGCAACGGACAATGCACGATTCCGTACGAACGGCGTTCGCACAAATTCGTTGCTTCGCAGTTCGCAGCTTTCCGCTTCTAGTGAACGAGAGGCCTTACTTTAATAAATGTATATGACCGAGTTTATGCAAACGAAAAGAGGTGATATGATGATAGAACACTTCAAATCCACAAAACTTCTTCCCTAATTCACCATTGGGAAAGAAGTTCTTCAAACAGATAACGTAGAATGGATAGGACGAAACGGGCCCAGTCAGTGACCCGCAAATTCCTCAGTCCTTAGATTTATGTCTCTGGAAATATGTTAAAACAGCAGCCTCAAAAAAACCAGCGACCCCTGAAAACACGATGTGAAGAAATAGAGAAGAAGAGAAGCAATAATTGAAGGTGAATATAACTCAAAAGGTGAGATTGTTAAATTTAGCTTATGTAACCTGTTAAGTTCATTACTGAATATACAATTCATCATGAAACTCATCATGAAATCCACTTAGGGTTTTCTCAACCTTCGTTTTCATAGCATATTACAAAACTAGTTTTTAATGCAGAAGATTATGGTACGAGTAATTTTTGGCGCAGTGACTATATACCTAGACAGTTACGTTAGGCCCCAAGCAGTTGTCGGTCCGTTATAACCCCTCCGTGTGGTGAGAACAGTTTGAAAAGCTTTATTGAATTATTCTTGTATTATTAAAAACACACTTATAGAAAGAATAATCGTTTTTCACTTTATGTTGTTTTATTTAGTAAATAGCAGGCAACAAATTTACAAGTGTTTGGAATTGAACTGAGCTGAAGTCTATAAATCATTGAATTTACATAAAAACGGTTTGTAATGTGAGATAAAATATGAAGTAAAACAGATGTCAGCAAAAATAAATCCTATAATGAAATATGAGTAAGCAATGATAATTTACTGGCGAAAATGTAGTTACCTACTCAAGTTTCAAGATATAACGTTTTTATTGAATTCATAGTAATCAATATTTATGTGGAATAAACTCTGAGAGCGTTAATCTTCAGCGATTCATTTCCAAAGTGAATCACTTCTTTCGCACAGGCACCGCCTGTAGTGCTTGTAATTTGTCCTTAAAAAGAATAAAATTGGGAACTAAATCAGTTTTTGAAAATAACTTCTGAATTCATAGTCATAAATATTTAAAATGACATTCGAAATTGAATCAGTATCAGAATTCAAGTGAAGTCGGCAAAAATATGGAATTAGGTATCCGAAGATTTGAAAGTCTCTATTAGAAAAACTTATATACTCGAACGCGATATGGTAGGAGGCGGAATAACCGAATACACCTTAATCATTCTCTTATAGTTTATGTTATGTCATTTGTCATTCACAGAGAAGAATATATTCATATTTCATTTGCAGTTTTAGATTATCATCTTTAATATTGTATTCCATGGATGTCATAAAATATTTACTTGTTCTTCAAATTTTTGTGGTTTTACTGCTCGATCCTAACAGATTTGATTGAGTTTGTAACTTTTTCAAAAATACATGTTTGTTATTGGTCATTCCCTACTCGATATACCTAACCAATAGGAACGCATACTCGAAGAGTTGCACAGTACAAGTTGTGTTGCGTGATAGTTTTCTGAAAATTCAAAACATCAATGGTCCACTATACATCACGTACCTCTTTCCTCTTTCCCTTCGACAAAACAAGTATGGTAGCTTTTGGGTTTAAAGGTGTAGGACGGCTGGCAGATTTCTTAACCTAAAAATGGCATCCTTATTTTGTGGTGATTTTTAAAAGTGTTTACATAATATAACAGCTGTTAACATGAGTTCGAATGAAGTGAATGATCCAAGTTTAAATAGACGAGGAAAAAAAAATAGAACTTTTTCTTATACATTTCCCTGTTAACCATCTTTGTTGTGTACTATTCATAATTCATGCTACAATCAATAGCTGGTGGGGGTTAGTACATCCGAGTTGAAATGCACGAAATGGACTTCTTACTTTTGCGAGGTCTTGTGTCGTAAAAAAAATCGGAAATGTTATTAACTAAAAGTACGTGCTCTAGTGTTTTATTCTATTTATCAGTTACCTAAAAACTTTATAGTGAAATAAGTACTAGTGTCGCAATTTTATATCCTAAGAAGACAGTTTAAATAATCGGATTAAACTTAAGTTTACATACATATTTTTTATAATTTGTGACTGATATGAATAGTTCAGAATAATTGTATGAAATTCATGGTAAAATTCACAAAAATATGCCAAAGTGGAGTGTAATTGTTTAGCCGTGTGCGGCTGAAATGATTGCATTTCAGTAATTATGATGTAAAATTACGTCAAAATGACTACGAAACTGGAAAAGCAGGTGAATGGTAATAATGGTATCAAAAGCCACCCAGGAAGTTCCAAAAGTTCTCCAATCAAAGTCAGTGACCATTATTCTCAGTACAAAGAAGAAACTTTTCAATTTGAAGTCCCACCAGAAGCACCAGTTTTTCACCCAACAGAGGAAGAATTCCAAGATCCTTTAGCCTATATTGCCAAAATAAGATCTGTTGCAGAAAATACAGGAATATGTAAAATAAAACCACCATCAGTAAGTAGACAGAAAGCATAAACTACTTTGTGCCATAAACACTTATCTGTCACATAAAGCAGACATGTTCTTTTTAATTACATCCTACCTACTTTAATGGTATCCATTTTCTGATATGATTTAATTCATTTCTAAACCTATGGTTTCCAAAAAATGTCAACAGAATGTTATTTCATTGAAAATTAATGAGGTTCTTAAATTGATGATTGATGAAAACTGAACTTTCCAGAGAAAAATTTCTGGTTTATTGTATTTTGGAGAGGAGTAAAGGTCCTTTTTTGGAGAAAATGTATCTACTTATTTAATTATAAAATTCTTGCTTCTACTTTCAGAAGAAACATTTTTTTTTTCATATTTGATTTAAATTCCTTGATATTCACATACAATTTCTGTTATTTGACAACTTGAAAAAATAACTCTTTGGGCTATCTGTTCCTCCATTAATATACAAAGAATAGGAATTTTCCAAAGGAAGAAAATAAATCTCCAAACAATACTTTTTCATAAATTCAGCTGCTAAGACTAGATTCAATGTAATTTGAATCTCTTAAGTGTTTTCAATAGATTCTTTTCACTTCTTGAGTTTACAATTCTAGTTATCATGTGAGTGAAACTTCATATTAATTCTTGTTTTTTATAGGAAGACTACAGTTATCTTTAGCACTTTTCCCTGACATGTGCTTCGTTAACCACCCCTCTTATGATATTAACTTGTTATGCCTTGAATATTACTGGAGTTCTCGTGACTCAAGAAAAAGTGCTGTTTTTCGGGTGAAGGAAACGTATTTTCATTAAATTGAATACTTTTCACTTATTATTTCTAAATCGTATTTCCATGAATGATGAATGAAATCGTATTTCCATGAATGATGAATTATATCTGTTTCAGTTTTCTATATAATTGTTTGGTGTAAATACTGAGAAAGAAAAGGTGATTTCAGTGCAATTTAATATCCCTTAGTAGAGAGAAAATTTCTTGAATTTTTTTAATTCCTTTCATTGTTGGTAGAATCGCAGCATATTAGTATGAGATCTGGCTGCGAGAAAACTAAGTTCATCTAGTGTATAAACAAAAGCAATTTTTTTAAGCGCAATTGCACATGTGTCGGTAGCTAATGCTACTGTTCTCAACCAGATATTTTTTCTGTATTAATATTATGCATTACACTATTGTCATTATTATCTTTCACATAATTTCAAATCAAATCAAAATATGCTTTATTACCCAAGATCTGAAGATCTTATTGGCAAAGTCTAAGTAAAGTAAAACGTGTATATGGTACAATTAACATATATAAACTATAAAATAATGCTTAGAGACAAAAGCAGAGTATATGGACAGAACAATATTAAGCTGAACAGATACAAATATAAGTACATGAATATATGAATATTGAGTAAATGTAAATATATAATGCTACGTAATGAACATTGATAGCCATTTCGTGTTGATTTCAATAACTTCTTTACACAAAGCTACATGCGAATTACTCGATAGAGCCTTGGTAGAATTCGTCCACACTATAATAGGGCCTCCCAACAAGGAGTTCTTTTACTTTTTTTCTGATTTTCTTTTCATTATATATTCGCCATAAATTAATGGGAAGGTGATTAAATAGAATTTTGTGTAAGGGCTAGAGTAGGTGTTGGAAGGGAATTGAAGTAAGTCTGACGTGTACTGTAAGTTGAGGTGGTATTAAATTGATGTTTATATTTTTTGTGGATAAGACACTGTTTCCAAAATAAAAAGACATACTATGGTCAAAATTTTTTGCTTCACAAATAATGGGCAATATGAATCACTGTAGCTAGCCTTGCATAAATATCTGACATATCTTTTTTGTAGAGAGAATACCATATTGAAACGAAATTGTGCACAATTTCCCCAAAAACAAATTCCATAACGTAAATAGGACTCAATTTGTGCAAAATAAACTGATCTTGTGATAGTAGTGTCTAACTCTCTTACAACAACTCTCACTGCATGAAATCCTGCTGCTAGTATTTTACATAAGTAGTTGACATAGGAATCAAATTTTAGATTTTCATCAATGAAGAGCCCTAAAAATTAGTTTTTCTCCAAATTTTCAATTTTTACATTTTCCAAGTGTACTTCCTCTACGTTATATCTAAACGTGACCACATTTGTTTTGTCGATGTTGAATGACAAAAGATTGGAATCACACCACTCTTTCACCCTTCTTATATCGACGATGATTTCATCAAGTAAATTTGAGACGGTATTGCTATGCCAGCGGATAGTGGTGTTGTCAGAGAAACATGTGAATGTACCACTTATGTCAACATGGACTAAGTCATTGACATAAATGAGAAACAACATCGGTCCCAAAACGGACCCTTGTGGGACCCCGTTGCCAATGAAACGTTCCTCTGATAAAATTCCATCTAATAGAACATTCTGCCGCCGATGAGAAAGGTACGTCTCAAACCAAAGTTATGCAGATCCTCTAAATCCATATACTTCTAGCTTGCAAAGTACACATGTGGTGTACACAATCAAAGGCCTTGGTTAGGTCACAAAACATGGCCGCCAAAGATTCTCTTACATTAAGATTGGTGTACAGGTTTTCCAGGAGTGAAAATATGGCGTCTTGTGTACCTTTTGAAGACTGAAAGCCAAACTGGAATAAATTCATTATATTGTTTTTCTCGAGGAAGGATATTACTCTTTTTTTACCAGTTTTTCCATAACTTTAGACAAGACGGGTTGTCAAGATCGCCTCCTTTATGTAGAGGAATGATTGTGGCAATTTTCAGACACGATGGGAACATACCTTTGGAGGATGAGAAATTTATTGCCTCCACAAACGCACTCAAAGCCCTGTCAAGAAAAGTAATCAGAATTTTTAAAGAAATGGCATCCCACCCCACCGAATTTTTATTTTTGATTTCACCGGACATTGAAAATCGAAAGATTTATTCAAAATTATATAATGAGATTCACTAAGTGATATTACAGGCTAAAACTCGTGTCAAGTTAAATTTCTTGGACCAAATAGCCAAATTCTGGGAACTTCAAGGTTCTTCCCTCAAAATTCCAATGGTTGAAAGAAGAGCACTGGATCTTTATACTTTACATAGAGTGGTACAAATAGAAGGTAAGTGCTATTGCATTAAGTCTTGGGGTCTCTGAAAGAGAAGTAATAATGTAATAAAATGAAGAGAAGTTATAATTCCAGGAAAATGATCAATTCTGCTGGAAGTCTCAGCTTTCTGAGACTAGAATAGATTACAGTTCTGTACAAAACACCTTGTAAGTTGCAGTACTAAAAGGATGAACATTACAATCAACAAATCCTTTATACTAGGAAACAACAAATGTTTAAAAAAAAGTTCTATCAGTCAGTCAAGAAACACAGAAATGCGACAAAAAATATGAAAATATTTGGCTTCATGTGAATTTCACATGATTATGTTCAATATGAATCACTGTAGTGACCTTCCATATACAGGCTGTTTGGTTGTGCTTCTATAAATTAAAATGAATTTGATTTGGAACAGCTAATGTATCTTGTTATTGTTAGGATTGACTTGTGAATTTTTTTCACTTATGATTTTCAGTTAATATGCTATGGTAATAATAATACTTTGGAATCTCTCAACATCACGAAAAGACATAGGATACTTCAACACATAATTGATGAAATGTACTTCTTCTGCATTTAAAAATGGAATGTGTATCATTTCTATGCATGTTCACTATAATTTGAAAATTTTGTCCCGTTCATGCAAAGTTTTTCATTGGAGAACTTTTTCACATTGATGGGTCTAGACAAAGAATCCCTTCAGACTATCGCTGATTCTTGTCATCAGTTGGAAGACAGTTTTCATGCCAAATCTTGTGACTAGACTACATATTCTGCCCATAACATATATTATTTCTTGTCGGCTATTCTTGTCCCCTCATTCAGAATGAATCCTTCACATAACACTAAAGCTACAAATTATAACTAACTTATTAGTCGAAAGTAAATACAAACTATAAACATATGCAGCCCGGTGCATGTGTGGTTGAAATTTGTCTTCATGGCTTCTCAAATTGTAAAATATCACATCCTTCTTATTTATATGTTATATTGATAGAATGTTTTCTTCATAAACAGGTGGATTTGATTGTGTTACAAAAGACAGAAAGTGGTCGAAAATATCTCAAAGAATGGGTTACCAAGTAGGGAAAAGTATTGGTACTATACTCAAAACACACTATGAAAGGCTTTTGTTTCCCTTCGATGTCTTTAAGCAAGGAAAGTCTGTTGAATTGGTAAGATTATATGTTAATTCTTTATTGTATCCATCACTGTTTTGTTTTTTTTTCTCAGAAATTGGAAGAGTCACCTGAAAATATCGAGAAAGCTGATAAGGACTATAAACCTCATGGGATTGTGAGTCGTATGCAAATAAAACCACCCCCAGAAAAAAACGCCCGGCGATCCAAACGATTCGAAAATGATGAATGCAAGACTGAAGTAAGCGATTTTCATTAAAATTTGTATTACTCTATATAAAAACTTCATCACATGCTCCTATCTCCTGTAATGCAGAGCTTACTTTGCTGAAATGTTAACTAGGGGACACTAAATTTTTCCTCATTGTTGAATATCTTTCACACTAATCTCTAGTGTCCTACCGAAAATTCGGTTTCGGTCGAGTTTCAGCAAAAAAAACGGGTTTCGGTTTAGTTTCGGTAAACTTGCCGAAACTACGACCGAAACCGAAAATGCATTCGGAAGTTCTCGCGCTGTGATCGGTCATGTTCGGCGCGTTGAATTTCATACAAGCGACAAAGAAATTTTGCCGGGTCCACGTGCCTAATCATATCACGACTCGTGACACACTTTGTGATTTACTTTGTTTATTACACAAATATTAGGTACCTATTGTGTAGTTTTATGTTTATTGTTTTTGAAAAACCATCAATAATATTCGAAAGAAGGATCTACACCTACTCAAATAAACACCTCACCTATTTTAAGTATTTTCAAGGTGCAATTAATATTTTTTCTTGAATTTGCATTGGTGGCAGATTTGCATGTATTTTTTGCTGTAATAAATTTGCTGTAAGAATGATTATAAATAAATTGAATTACCCAATATTGGTGTTGGTGAAATTTCTTGTAATTTTAAACACAATCAAACTTATTTTTTACAGAATGGCTGATAATTTTTCAATAATCATTTTCAATTTTACCTACCAATAAGAACTGCTTCTGAACATTTTTAGTTCGTCTAGTTTGATCATTTAGTAGTATATACATCCTAATTATTTGAGTTTGGTTAGCATTAGGCTGGTTATCCAAATTTCATTTTCTGGTAGTGTAATATTGACAATAGGGCTGGGGTAGTCTTTGTATATAAAGAATGTTCAAATTAATGAATTACTTTTTTGTATCTTTTATAGTACAAGGGCTGTTATGCTAATACTTATTCTGTGTTCTAACTGTACATGCTCATTATTGAAGTAATATGCTTATATACTTTTCCAACTCTTTCTACCACTTTTTCAACATGAATGTGCGATCATATCTTTTCACACTTAACATTATTTTTGGCATAACCCTTTGCTAGTTTTCACATCAAGTTTTGAATTTATTTATTTCATATTTTTAGTTCACTACAATAATTATATTGAATTATATTGAATGAGGATGTCTGTTAATTATTGAAAATGTTTAAAACCTCTACAAAATGGTAGAAAAAATCTATGAGTGATTTGAATAAAATTTAGAAAAATGAATTCCTGTTATGTAATTTGCTAATAAATTGATGGATGTAGCTGTTACTACGTGGTAGGAAATCATAATGAAGAAAAGAGAAATGAAACTTTCTATGTTTTTTACTACTTTTATTTGTAACTAACATTACTGCGGTTTTGTCCTATACGGACATTTTCAAACTTATACAATAAACTATAAAACATAGAAACTTTCATTTCTCTTTTCTTCATTAATTTGTTAATACTTAATAAAAGTCCAGGAGAAACATATTATTCAACTACACTTTATGAAGAGATTTTCACAGAACAGTCTACAAAACAGCATTTTCAAAGACAAATAAATCTATGATTTTAATTTTTGTCTCTCCGATTATCACTGCCTCAAAGAGTTCTCACAGTTTATTGAACACTTCGAAAGTCAAAATGAAGGTGAGATAAGAGATAAAACTCCAGGGTGATCTTCAACATTTAAAATTTGTCAAACATGGAATAGAACTCCTCTGGCAAAGAGTTCAATGAAGTGATAGAGCAAAAGAAAGATGACAGTTATTCAAGAGCTTTTGTGTAATGATATAATTGAGTAAGGGACCTAGCAAGAACAAACTTGCTAAACTTCCAGTAGTGTCTCTATTTTTCTCATACCAATCTGGTTCCGCACAAAAGATTTTAGTAATTCCAGAGTTGGTTCAGGGCCTGTCCCTCAGTTATCTCAATTCTTCAGACACTCCCAGACCAACCTTGATGTCACTTTTGGGTTCGACAGTGTCCCAAGTGCTGCCTGGGTATTTGTGAAGATATTGATCCGGTCATTTCGTTCAGAACTCAAATTGATGTTCCTTGTGTATTACAATATTACATGCACAAATAAAATTTAAATTTCTTCTGGCACAGTAAATTCTCATGTGAAATGAAATGCTAATGAGCTACGTTATGTAAAGAATGTGAGAACATTTCAGATGATGAGAACCTAAACCATAATACATCACTTCCATAAACATTCTGAAAATCCAAAGAAATCAGTAAACCTGACATTGTCTTTCCATTGGGCCAACTAAAATGATTTACAGCATTACCAAATATGTTTCTTGGTATTTTTTTGTCGTGTGAACAATTAGAAAAACTCACTCAATTATTCATACAATTATTGTTCAAGAACATAATCAAAAGTAACTATTCAATGTAAACTTCTACTTTCAATAAATATGTTAACAACATTTATATTTTATTGGGACTATTCGAAAGATGGATGCTGGAATTTGTTTTTTTAAGTTACAAGAATTCTTAACAACTGCATCTCAGGAATATCATGATAATTAAAACTCCAGGGATTGATGCAAGCCTCTTTTCATAACACACGCTATTTCATCGGTAGCTGCCTTATTCATCTTGGAAACTATCTGTTTAATGAAAAAAAATTATTCTTGTGCTACCTCCCTTTCTTCATACAACACTCTTGGTCACAACATCAACTTAGACCTGTGTTCCTACCAGCTCCCTAGTTAAGGACTTCATTACATTCAGCGGTATCAAACTTTAATCGCATACTAGTCCGAATTGAAAAATAACGATGTTCAACAAATTCAGGCAAGCAGTTGAAATGCTACTTGTTGATAGGGCTTATTATACAGTTCAGGAGTATATTGATGATTCACTTGAATCTTGACAGATTCTAGCGAACCCCCATTTATTGCCTTTGTATGTCTAGCTGAATATTTATCTATTTCTTTTATATTGTATTTATTCAATTTAATTGCATGTTTTTTATTCAGATTTTCTATTCCAATAAAAATATAAGACTGTCTATAAGATGTATTCATCTTCAGACAATAAAATATATTTGATTGTTTGTTATAATAATGATAATAATAATATTCTTCATTGCCAAAAGAACCTCAGGTCTTGACAAAGCTGCAAATTTTCTTCACTCACCATACAACTATATATACATATATACACACATATAAAGTACAAATCAAACTAAATAGCTTAAATACAGAGTAAAGATATATCTGCAAAAATATAGACATACATCGAACAATTTTATCCCAACACATACACTACATATCGATACTGAAGAGAGATATTACACATTAAAGAAACAATACCATATAATGAAAATAAGATGAGATAAAGTAGAAAAAACTATCCTCATAGAATTCTTCTGAACTATAATAGGGTCTACCACATAATAAATATTTTACTGATTTTCGAAATTTACTGTTATCCTCTAAAATTTCAATATGACCAGGTATTACTTCATGAATTGATGGCATTACTGTTATTTGAATGTCTTAAGAAATTTGAGGGTAATCGGAAGACATTCAGTCGAATATTACATAACTTTCTAAGTCACAAATTTCTAAGTTAAGTATATACAAACATCATTATACTTAGATTAAACCAATTGTGTTCTCGGTCATTCTAATATTTAGTCGTTCGATATAAGTAGGCTTGTAAGACTTGTTATAACAAATACATTTGGTGTAAAGTTTAATTGAATTCATGGTTGGGTGAATTCATGGATGAGAATGGATTCGTCTATTGGTCCATTCGAAACGTTGGCATGTTTGTATTAATTGAAGCAATCCATCGAAATTTTTATGTTGAATTTGAGAACTCCTCCATAGTCTTGAAAGAACCTAAATTTTCCATTATTTCACATTGACCTTTGAGCCATTCTGTTTTTGAGTTCCTACTTCAAAATAAATGCCAATAGAATTCACAGTTGTAAACTAGAGCCCAAACACAACACATGTATGATTCAACATCAGGCAGCGCTCTTTCGAACCGCTATAGGTCTCATCAGTGGTGCTAGGCTGAACCACTAATGCATTGCTGGACTCAACTTTCCTCAAAGGCTAATCAGTAAGCAGAGAACTCAATCTTCAAATAGCAAAGATAAACGAGACTCTCCAGAGGGTCAGTTGCAAAGTCAAGCTTTGACGAAAAGAGAAATGAGAATTTCTATGTTTTTTTACCACTTTTATTTGTAACTAACGTTACTGCAGTTTCGTCCTATATGGACATTCTCAAACTAATACAATAATACAGTTCATTGTATTAATTTGAGAATGTCCATATAGGACGAAACTGCAGTAACGTTAGTTACAATTAAAAGTGATAAAAAACATAGAAATTTTCATTTCTCTTTTCATTATGATCTCCTACCACGTAGTAACGGCTACATCCATCAATTTATCAAGCTTCGACATTGACCGCCGACGAGATTCGTTCTGTCTTTCACTGCAAAGTAACTAGTTATAAACTAGAGCCCAAACACAACACGGTTATGATTCAACATCAGACAGCGCTGTTTCTACCCGCCATAGGTCTCATCAGTGTGGCAATGACATCTGCCCTTACAAAGACGCCATCTGTGGGATTCACAGAGAACTCTTCGACATCGACCGTCGACGAGATTCGTCCTCTGTCTTTCACTTCAAAGTAACTTGTGATGCACTGTTTGGAACCTTTGGTGTAGTAATGAATAATACTGGAGTTTTTCCCAACACTAAACCGTTATTTTAACACATCGTCACGTGTTTAGATCCAGTGATCATTTTCAAGAGGAATATCAAGTTTGATCTTCCTGTTGAAGATGATCAAGTTTGATCTTCCTCTTGAAGATGATCACTTGGTGATCGAAACACGTGTCGAGGTTTTAAAATAACGGTTTGGTTTTAGGAAAAAACTCCAGTAATATGCAAAGTAACTAGAGCCCAAACACAATGCATTTATGGAATTCACACTTGATTTGCCAATAAGACATAACATATTTTCAGATTTTTGTATCAGTATTTCAGAAGAGTAACTTGGAATTATTTTCAATGCATGACATCCCCATGAATTCAAGATCAATTAATGAGAAATAAACATTACAAGACCAACTACCAATTCATACTTGCAAAACTAATTTGTTCCATCAATTTTTATAGCTTGCAAAATATGTATGTCACAACTGTAATCGTGGAGATTCTGAAGAATACATGCTGTTATGTGATGGTTGTGATGACAGCTACCACACTTTTTGTCTGATGCCACCACTTGCGGAAATTCCTAAAGGAGATTGGCGATGTCCCAAATGTGTGGCGGAGGAGGTCTCTAAGCCTATGGAAGCATTCGGATTTGAACAGGCTCAAAGAGAATATACGTTACAACAGTTTGGAGAAATGGCAGATCAGTTCAAATCAGAATATTTTAACATGCCTGTACATGTAAGTTGGTGATTCAACAAATAATTTGATATATATGCATCGTTAAACCTAGAGAAACAAATATATTTTCTCAATTCTGATTTCACAGATGGTGCCAACCGGAACCGTTGAACGCGAATTCTGGAGAATTGTCTCTTCCATTGATGAAGATGTGACTGTAGAGTATGGTGCAGATTTACATACGATGGATCATGGCTCTGGTTTTCCAACCAAATCATCTTCCAATCTTTTTCCTGGTGATAAAGAGTATGCAGATTCGAGTTGGAATTTGAATAACTTACCCGTTTTGGAGGGATCTGTCCTTGGATATATAAATGCTGATATCTCTGGAATGAAGGTAAACATAAAACGAATATATCAGTAATTATACAAATTATAATTTGGTAGTTTCATTATGAAGCAAGTCAAAATTACGAGTCCTCTTTAGTACTTGTAGTACATTAAAATGGAATTATTCCAAGTGCTGATGCTTCTAAAGTGAAAACTCCTATTTTGGAATATATGAAACTCGACAAGGAAGCTGTGAGAAATGTTCAAAATTACAAGAAAAACTTCAATTTCTTCATGATACAAAATTGAAAATGCCAAATTTTCATCAGTTTTAAAAACATACCCCTGGTGGTATCTGGTAGTCCTATGGATTGTTAGTTCCTTTAGTTCGAAATTTTCATGGAGAGGGCCTTTCAGTTTCAAAATTTAAATGCCAAATGCTTCAAATATCTGTTTTCAGTTGCACATAATGTACTACTACCATCTCTACAAATTAAAATACATTTTGCATTTTCAGGTAACCTAAACATTACTGGATGAGGTATTCACGAGATATGTTCAGAAAGTAACAAGAATTTTCGTTTTTTTTTCAATATTTGTCTACACTATTGGTGCCGTCTTCAAAATAGTCCTCGTTAAATGGCACTTGTGGCACTTAGAGGAAGCACTGGCCCGTCTGCCAGTGCTTCCTCCAATTCCTAAAACTCCTTTCAAACTCGGTCTTTGGGATAGCCATTAGCTCTTTCAGCAATACACTTTCAGTTTTCCTTTATTTTTGGAAATATGAAAAAGTCACACGTATCTGACGAATATGGAGGCTAGGGTACTGTTGTGGTATTCTTTTGGTAAAAAAATTGATGAACAAGCAACGAAGCATGCCTAGGCGCATTATCGTTATGTTTTCTTTGGTTGTTGATGTGCTGGAGCGCCGGGGCGTTCGTCATCTCCAACGTCATTACAGCAGTCTTAGAAACGCTTATACCACTCGTAGAATCTTCTTTAACTTATATCAGACTCACTATAGGCATTTGTTAACATTTCACACACTGTGTCACATTTTATTTCATTTTTTATGCAAAAATTTATACAAATTCTTTGATCCATTTGTTTTAACGAACAAATCATTTTCTGAACATACCTCGTATAATTACTAACATTTAATGAACAAAGAACTTTCGACAGATACATATCGAAAAGACAAACTATGAAAGTAGAGATTCATTAAATGCTGATTTGTTTTTTCGAAATGATTTTGACACATTTTGTTGGTTCGTTTGTTGATTATTATTATTATAGTTTTGAAGCATCTTCATAACAATTTGAAATATAAATGTTATACTTGAATTTATATTTTTATATGCACATAGACTTGGACTATCAGACTATAGGCTATTATTGATAAAGTAGTTGCCTTATTGAAAAATATTTAAAAAATTCTATGATTCTGTTGAATATCACTACAACAAACATGAAGATGACTGTTACCAAACACTGAGGATACACTACAAAAACACACTTTTGTCTATTTTCCACTATATTTCTTTATTGTTGACCGGTTTCGGCTATTATACCATTTTCAAAACTAACTGATTACATTTAAATCCGAGTAGACAAAAGTGTGTTTTTGTAGTGTATCCTCAGTGAACATGAATTTTCACAAAATAAACAAGTCGTCAATCGAAGAAGTGTTACCAAACAATATAAATCCAAGTAAATTTAAAAAATATGTGACTACTTTGAATATGATTAAATCAGAACACCAAAAATAATCTTGTTGGAGTAATTTCAAGTTTTCCAAAAAATGATAAAATTTTGTGGTACCTAATTAATTAAGATACTTGATTGAATAAAGGTTACAACCTCAGTGGTTGTAACCTATGGTACTTTATAACTGCCAATAGTAAATATGCACCCCAAGGATCACATATCAGTGCAAAATCGAGGACAAAGCTTTTTTGTGTAATGTAAAGGACAGTTGTAACAAAGTGTTCTCATCTGTTAGATGTATTTATCCAATAATATACAAAGCTTATTACACTTTTCTTCAAGAACTATACAGTCTACAGTCCACTCATCAACCAACATTGATGATTAAGTTATGTGTATGTGAAAAAACGTTTTAGTGGTTGAATTAAACTTTGACCGAGTGATCAATTAATTGTGCAATTTATACAGTGAGCCACTCCATCGAGAATGCAAGATTCAGCACAGGTCCTCGTATAGTTTAACTATGCAATTGGCATAGACAAATCAGAAGGGTAAGTCCTTTATTCCTATATTTCCTTCCACTTTAGATGATATTTGCATTGGCAAGGAGTTATTTGTTTCACAATTAAGAATTGATATTGCAGAATGAGTACTGAGGCGGAAATAACTTCTTTGAAAAATGAAAAGGTCTAAAAATAAAAATTATTATTTAAGAACTTTAGGAAACAAACTAAAGATGAACCCTCTTTGAATGATGTTGCCATGATATCGTTAGAGCAAAGAATCACTGTTCGAAGAATTTCAAAGTTGGAATATTCTACTGATAATAGTGATGAACAGATCGTGAAACGTGACTCTTTTGAATAGACTCATTATTCCGTGACCACTGTCTCAAAGAGTTTAGTATGTGAAATAGTAATAACAGTAAATTTACAAAATAATATAATAGATGCTGACAATGTTTCTCGGAGATCCGCAGCAAGTAACAATTGAGGTTACCATAATATCGGTAGTCAAGTAATGTTTTTGTAAAATTAACCATTATATCTGTACCCAACTTTGGTGGCGTCTACGACATACAGCTAGAGTTTCGTGACACATTTAAAAGGAATAATGCTATAGAAAAAGTTGAAAAATTTCATTAATTAAAATCTTCTCTTGCATAGAGGTGCCAAAGGATGTGAAAGCACTCAAATTTTTTATCTATAAATAAAGTATATCTTGGCAGGCCTCGTGTGACAGGTATAATAATAGTCCACAACCATGTCAGTACTCGGCTTGGAATTTATTTAAAAAAAAATCTTCGGTAAAAATCAGAAAGTTGATTGATGATTCCGAAAAATCTTAAACATCCCACTTATCACTGGGAACCCTAATTATCCATATATTGGCGACAACATTGGATAATATAACGCTTCAGAAATGGTAGCAACATAAATGCATTGAGGAACTTTGAATTTTAAAAATTTCCTAAAGGGTGGCACAAGCTTTTTAAAAATTGTACGAGGAAAACCGGAAGCATAATCTTAAGCATAATCTAAACCAAAATAGATGCCAGTATGTGTACTTGAAAAATAATGCAATTGATGGATATAATGAGATCAGATCGAACTATTTATCTGTGAATGATGGTGTATAACAGGGTTTAATTCTGGGTCCTTTGTTGTTTTTGTTATATCTCAATGACATTGATGCTGTTTCTGACGTTGCCTATTTCACCATGTATGCTGATGACAAGAATGATTCCCTACTAGAAAGCGATTGTACTGACATAGTAAATAATCTTTTCATATAGTGCCGTTCGAATAATCTATGTTTCAATGCAAATAAGACTAGCAAAGGCAAAGTCATTGTGAAACTTTGGCAATCAAAATCAACAATATGCCAATGACAAACAGAGACAATGTGAAGTATCTTGGTATACATTCAAATGATAACCTGAATTGGTAGAAACACTGAAAATTTAATATCAAAATTATCATCAATCGCTTACTTGATCTATAATATTGAGAAGATTTTAAATAAAGGACAACTTATTATGTAATATCATTCCAAAATTCCGGTTCACACTCAAGTTTTTTTCTACTTCAGATTACTAATGACGGTTCTGGACCTAGGACAATTTTGTACACCGGTTCGCAGTCAAGTTCTATGACTACATAATTATATCAAAAATTCAAACTGAAAATTTTTTTTAGGGGAGATTAGGTTTTCTTTAAAAAATCCAGCTTTCCACTTAAGTAGATTACTAATGACGGTTCTGGACCTCCCCCACCACTTTTGTCCTTGAATGTAGTCACACGGCCTTAAGCTAGGTGCACGCTATTTGACCTTGGTACGGGAAGTTTTCCAATTCAACGGTCGACTTTGGTCTCGATACATGGCCTTGAGTTTGCACCTTGAAATATGACTTAGGCGTGCCGGTAGTTCAAATATCATGGCCTGAACGCCACTACTAACTCGGATGGCTACCAGTAGCCGATGTCTACATCGAATCGTTCAGTCCGCAAGAGGACCCAGCTGTGGGAAAACATACTGCAAGAGGCAGTGTGCTCTCGACCCTCTGCCAGCGCGGTCTGCGATGTATGCACCAGACGATTCCCTGAAGGTCATTTCAACACTTGGTTAGAGTAATTATGCCGTTCGCCTAACAACAGCAGGCACCAGGTATCCAAACGAAGGGCTTGAACGACAACTTTGCGGTGCGAGGACGTACTTGCAGATAAAGGCAGTGGTTTTATCGACAGTCTGGCAGCGAGGTGTGTGGCGTACTAGATTCAGTAGTCAGGTATCCATCTTCACGATTTGTTGTGAGGACAACAATACCTCTGTATCCAAGATTAGGCAACTTAGGCTGTTTATTCTAATAAATTATTTCGTGTAAGCAATCCTTTCTCAAATGTTCCCACACATTTTGTGGAATATTTGGCTCACACATTTATCTCACACAGCACTAATATTTCACCAGTTCAATCTTTTGTGTCCGTGTAAAATTAGCTCAAAAATTAATTTGCAACATTTATGGCGGGAAAAATTTGTCGTGGAATGATAGGGCCACTTATGATCTGTTTAAAAAATCTGTGATTCCGTTAATGCAAAGGAACGGTGTGAATTTCGAGACGAATTACAATGATGAAAAATGTCGCGGGGGTAGATTATCAAAATGTTACGTAAGCATATTCGTTCGTTTTGTAACTAAAGCGATCCACCTCAAATTAAGTAATTTCACTTTTAAGTTTTTATTCTAACTTCGAGTAGATTCTTTGAAAGTCGAGGTAGCCCTCGGTATACTTATTCAGACATTAGTACATGTCTTGTAGGAGTATCTAGGAAGTTGAAGGAATTGGGAGGTTGTTAAGTGAAAATTAAAGGCGCTCTCCAAATGTTATACCGGATGTTTATCAAACATAAGGGACCATTCCTTGGACTATTCCAAGGATATTTTGTCCCTTGATGATTTTTGATTTTTGATAGGGCGCTTTCTTTCGAAGATACGGGCGAAAAAGAATTTCGACAATAACAATTTTGGTATCTAACAATTCCGTTGGTACCTACCAACAACATTCGGATTACTACAAACGGGTACAGAGATTCAATTTGAATAGTATGTCTCGTACATGATCCTGGTGTTTTTGAAAGAGTTCGGGAGTCGATGACGAGAAGATTGGATTCTGGCATCCGAGCGGGGGTAGTC